ATGGAGCGTGGGCACATGGTGAGGAGGGTTCCTCCCAGACCTCCCTGCTCCCAGAGGACGAGTCTGAAGGGCAGAGAGAAAGTAAGCTCATGGGGCTCCCACTCCTTCTCACAAGAGGCAGAGAAGGAAGCACAGAAGTATGGGCAGGAGTTGTGGGGAAAACAGCCTTTCCACAGTCCGCCCACTGAGTCCCTGAGTACTTAGCTTGATTTTGGCCCTCCAGCTGAGGCTTGCCCTTCTAGGAAACAAGGTAGCAACAGGAGACTTGCTTATCTCTTCTCCCAAAGCTGGAGAACAGCATCCCTTTGCAGTACCATCCAAGCTGGGCGGTGAAGGCTCTAGGGCAGAAATTCAGACCTTTGTGAGTTTAGTGAGAGTCCCCCAGGATAGCTTCAACTGGTCCTCAGCCTGTGGTGAGGTCATGATGTGGAGGAGGGTCTAGTTTGAAGAAGGTGGGAAGCTAAGCCGTAAAGCCCCCGTCCTGAACTTTCACCTGCCGATCCTCGGGCTCACCTGGGGTTCTAGTCCTCTGGTGCTCTTCCACAGTGTTCAGGGGTTTGGGTCACAGGAGCTCAAAGACTGGATGAGACAGCTTGGCTCAGAGCCTCATTAGTCTGCAACTACTCGGCCCGTGGATCCTGGTGAGTGTATCTAGGGTGTGAACCTGACTCACAGTCGACCCATCCATAGGCTAGCTGGTGATTAATACTGAAGTCTACATCTGGATCCACAAGACTTCCCACCCACTGGCCTGTGATCTTCCTGCATTCGCTGTCATTGCATGTGTTATGTGAGTCTGAAGAGGACTTTATAGACTGGTAACAGGCATATGGGCTAATATCAGACTCGTGGACTTGCTCTGGACTGGGCTGGGCTGTTTTCTCAATATACAATTGCTCTATTATGTAAGACTCTTACACCCATGCGAGTGTCTATGAATTTGTTTCTCCAGTCAATCTGGAGGAATTATGGCATTGGAAAGACTATTGAAAGGAGGTGGGCTGCCAGAAGAACAACTCTGTCTTGGATGAAGTACAACCGGATGCTCTTTCGAAGTGGAGAGGGCAAAACGTCGCCTCCCATATTCTGTACACGTGACCAGGAGAGACCAGTCCCTGGGAAGGACATCATGCTGTGGAAAGTAGCAAAGGGTCGGCAAAGACCCTCCATGAGACGGTGGCTGCAACAACGCGCTCAGCCACAGCAACCAGCATGGAGATGCCACAGGACTGGGCAATGCTTTGTTCTGTTGTGCAGAGGGAGCAGATGCATGCACAATAGAGGACCAAAATCGTAATCCACCGAGACACCCACATCGAACAACAGCAATCCCAGATCTCATCGCGACTGTTCGCATGGTATACCCTTGACCTCGTTTTACCGTCAGCTATTTGGGGGTTTTGACTCTAAGGCATGTCTCTTCCTACAATACAAATTTTGGTTCTATCTTCTTCTTTGTCAAGTCTGGCAATCCTGCTTATGAAGTAGGATGTTTAGCGCATTCTTTTTTTCTTTTTTTTTAAACATTTTATTAGGGGCTCACACAACTCTTATCACAATCCATACACACATCAATTGTGTAATGCGCATCTGTACATCGTTTCTCAAAACATTTTCTCTCCATTTAAACCCCCGACATTAGGTCCTCATTTTTCCCCTCCCTCCTTCTTATTTAATGTAATTAAATCAACGTCTTGCTATTAGTTTTCTATTTTTATTTCTTTTGTCCCTCCATTTTTTATTCAATAATATGTGTATAGGTTATAAAGCCATCAATATAATATCACTTTGTAAAATCGCATGTCTTTTAAAGAAGTTATGACAAGAGATGGGGAAAAGTTCATTGACTGAGTCTCCTATTTCCACAGTTACCATTTCCAGCAGTTTTCGTTTCTCCTTGCAAATTTGACACACTGTCTAGTGTCACTTCCTTTCAGCTCAAAGGACTTCCTTTAGTATTTCTTGTAAGGCAGGTCTGCCAGCTGCAGTTGATTTGTTTTATCTGGGAATGTTTTTATTTTGCCTTGAGTTTTCAAAGATAGTTTTGTTGAATACAGAATTCTAGGTTGACAGCTTTCCTCCTTTCTTGGTGTATTTTAATATAGGCTATTATCTAACTGTCTCTTGGCTTCCATCGTCTCCACTGAGGAATCCTCTGTTACTTGTCCCCTGTTCACGGTGCATTGTTTCTCTCGCTACTTTCAGAGCTTTCTCTTTACCTCTCAATATTTTGAAAAGTTGTACACAGGTGTGGAGATTTCACTTGGATGTGCTTCTTAGATTTGTCCCCCGCTAAATTTGGCAAGTGTTCAGCTGCTGTGTCTTCAAATACTTTTCTATCTCTTTGACGCCCTCCTGGGACCCTCAACACCCAGGTGTTGGTCTGCTTGAAGTTGTCTCACAGGGCCACTAAGGCTTTGTTAATTTTTCTTCTATCTGATTTTTCTCTTTGTGTTCTTCAGATTGGATAACTATTGCTCTGCCTTAAAGTTCACCGATTCCTTCTTCTGCCATCTCAGATCTGCTACTGAGCCACTCTGGGTGAAAAAAACAACAACCTTCATTTCTACTTTTGTCCTTTTCAACTCCATAATTTCCCTGTGCTGTTTCATGTATTGAGTCAGTAGCTGCTGACTCATTGCCATCATAATTTCCTTAATTTGCTAGTTCTCTAGACGAATTTACAATAGCGATCGATGCTAAACTAACACCTGGGGACACGCGGAAACCTTTCTATTGACTGTAGTATTATTTCCTAAGCATGGGTCCCCTTTGTTTCTTTGCATGTCTCTCTTGGATAGCGTGTGTGTGTGTGTGTGTGTGTGTGTGTGTGAGACTCCATCAGCCAGGGGCAGTTAGGTGGCCAAGGCCTACTCTGGTCTTTGCTCAGCATTTGTACAGCCTCCAGTCAAGCCAGGGTGCATGAAGAGCTTGTCAAATCCCTATGGATGTCTCCCCTTCCATAAGGTGTGTCCCTGTCACGTTCCTAGCTGATCTGTGAGCTCCAACGTCTCACAGTCACCCCTTGTTTTCCAGACAGTCTGGAAGACCACTGGTCTGGTATCCTGCAGAATGTTCCCCAATATAGGTTTGTCTGATGTTATTATCAAAAGGCGACTGGTGTCGCGGGGTTTTAGAAAGAAGGAGACCAGAAGAAGTGTTCCTGTTTGATTTCGCCTTTATCTTCTATGAGACTTTCTGTACTTCTGGAATATGTGGGTTGATGCACACCAACTGTGGTCAGTGTTAGCAGGAGAGATAGCGGGACAGCTCTAGGCACAGGCCCTGGGAAGCGTCCCAGGTCTGCTTGATCCTCTTGTGCTGGTGTCCTGGTCCACGGAAGATGAGACATACACACAGAGTAGACCCAAACCCAACCTGTGTCTTAGAGCCAAGCCACTCTGAGCCGAGCCTAGCGCTGATGACCCTAGATGTTTTGAGAATGCACAAGAGATGGCCAAAATCTTAATCCACAGAGACACCCATAGGGGGTGCAGCATTCAAGCACCTCACAGGTTATCTTCCTGTCTGAGAACCTGGTGTTTATTCCAAGTTCTCCTGAGACACAAGTGTCCTCCTCATCTTCCTCTTCTCTCCTCCCCTCCCCTATGGGTCAAGTCTAGAACCAGCCCCAGATGCAGGGGCATCCACTTTCTTTCCTCTTAGCAGCACCGGAAGCTCAAGGGCCCTCATACCACCCATCAGCAACAATCGTCTCAGGCTCATCCCCCCGCTGAGGCTCTGGGTCTCCAGTTAGGTAGCATAACCCAAGTGTCCTTAGGGATAAGGTGAGTTCTTTTGTGAATTTAGAACAGGGCCTCGGGGGAAATTTTGGAAGGTATCTTTTCTGGAGAGTAGGAAATGATTTCAAACAGGCACACGCGCTGATGCACTAAGAATCTTACTCTTGCTGTCTATCGAGTGATTTATATGAACCCTCCAATTAGCGGCTGTCCGGCAGCAAAATCACCACGCATCGACAACTGTAGACCGAATCAAGTTTTATTTGACAATAATATTAAATTCCATTCGTTTAGTCTTGGAGATCTGCTGAGCCAGGAGCAGGATAACAAACCACACAACAACGAAAATATCAAAGGGCTGGCCATGCTTCTGGAGCCCGAGCAAAGGTGGTCAGGGCAGGGGAAGGAGGGTGATGTGGGATGAAAGCTGGCTTTGCCCACTTCCCTCAAATTATGAGCATTCTGGGCTGGGATTTCACGGCTTCTTGTAAGCCCATGGCCTTTGGGGCAGGGAAAGGTGGGGGAGGGAAGAAGGGCTCTGTGTGGGTGACCACATCATGCTGCCATAGTTACCTTCCCCACCTCTCCACCAGTTCAAATCTTGGTCCCCAATCCTGCCCTATCACCTCAGTGCCGATTTATTTCTCAAGCCATGCCCATCTGACAGATTGAATGTCAGGCCCTCGAGGGGTGGTCATTTCCCATGCCTGGGCTGCACGTCCCCCAACCAGGGGTCAGCCCTCCATCTTCTGCTTCCCCAGGTCTTGCCCGGGCACCTGACTTTCGCCAGTGAACCATTGGGGATGGAGGACTCTGCACATGATGTGCACCAGTCTGAGGAGTGAGGTGGCAATGGGGTGTTCTGGGGCCCACCTGGTAGAGAAGGGTTGAAGGGTGGGGACACCTGAGCAAACCCCCATCACCCCAACACAGCACTTCCTTCTTTGGATCATCAAAGCGATCCCGGCCGATGCCCTCAATCTTGGCTTTCTCTCATCTGTGAATTAGAAAGCAGTGAATGAGAATGTTCCAGAGGCAAGGCGTTCATCAGGTGGCCCAAGACCAGGGCCTCCGGCCCCTCATTTTTGCTGAACACTTGCTGTGGGCTAGGCACCGGGAGGGACGCTTTGCAGATAAGCCCCTTTCAATCCTTCCTGGAGCTCACACCAAACCCATTGCGTGCCAGGGGATTCTGACTCAGGAGAACGGGCCCATAGGGTTTTCTCGGCTAGAACTGGCACAGAAGTAGATCACCAGGCCTAGCTTCCGCCATACCACAGGTAGGGTTTGAACTGCCAGCCTCTTGGCAGTTCAGTGCAAATAGTTTGTGCGATGTCCGCAACACTGTGAGGTTTTATTTCCCTTACTTTAGTGCAGAGGCAAGAAGCTAATTAACTTCCCTCTCGGTCACTCAGCTACAAGGTAGCTGAACCACTACTAAATTTGAGCCCTTCCTATCACCCAGGGATCTCGGATCCAGAAAGGGCTGTGAGAGAGACCGTGCACCAGGTGCTGACAGGAGACACGTCAAATGTTAGTGCTCTTTTTCAGAAGGCCCAAAGAATATGAGAGAGAGCGTATGTGTGTGTGTGTACATATGTGTATCTATATGTGTGTAAGTGTCTGTTTCTGTGGGCTCGTGTGTGTGTGTGTGTGTGTGTGTGTGTGTGTGTGTGTGTGTGTGAGAGAGAAAGAGAGACAGAGAGAGAGAGACAGAGAGACAGAGAGAAACAGAGAGAGAGAGATGAAAGAAAAATCTCATCCATGTTTCTACCATCTGAGTCTCGGGGCAGAAGGAACAAAACTCCAGATACAATGGGTTCTCCCAGTCTTTGGCCAAATCGATGTGGGCCTCACAACGGTTGGAGGAGGCAGCCTAAGCCCCACCCCAGAGCCTCACATTGTTCTTCTAGAAAGACCCCCAGCCCGTGCTCCTGAGTGGAGGCTGAAGACTGCAGCCGAGCCTCTCTCTGGCCAACTCTCTGCTTCTTTCCCCAGGACAGCCTCAAAGGCAAAGGCGCCGGAGACCGTCTGAATCCCTGCCTCTGCCTGGCGCAGGGCCACCCAGGTCCCTACAGGGAGCAAGACCCTCACAGGTAACTGTGGAGCACCTGGGAAGTGGGGGCTCAGAGGAGGCTGCCCCAGGGTTTCCTGTCAAGCCTGGCGCCAAGGCTGCGCTAGGGCAGAGCTCCACTGAAAGTCATGATGGGCAGGCAGAGGAGGGAGCAGAGGTCAGGTGCCGTCTGGGCCAGCGGGTAGGAGGGCCTCTGAAGTGGCTGGTGGAGGCTGCTCTTCTCTGGCTTGTAGCAGGGTGAGACCTCACACCTGTAGGGTGGGGGGTGGGGGTGGGGGGACAGGGCAGGAATAAGAACAGGCCTCTGGCTCCTTCTCACCCTTCCCTGGGACCCTGCGCGGCCGAGGCAGAGCCAGCCACCCCTCCATCTTACCTGACCACACTCTGCAGGATCTTCCTCTCATCCTGGTCCAGACACACGGCGAAGGGACAGCTGTTGGAGCCAATGACCTGCACCTTGTCCACTTTGACCTGTGAGGTACTGATCTGGAAGGAAGCCCCGGGTCAGTACCCAGCGCCCTGGTCACCCGGCTGCTGGCCCGTAGTTCCTTCCCATGGCATTGCCCATGGTGTCTGAAGGAGAAGGATGGGGGCATTGGATGGCAGCTTTCGGGTCATGGGCCAGGCCAGGGGAGGGAGCCGGGGGTGGGGGGCTTCCACTAAGCCTGTGTCTTTCTGGCTTCGGCCCTGTCCCCTATCTGGAAGAAGCAAGGGCCACTGGAGAACAGAATGCCTGACCCGTCCTCACCGCGAGAGCCACAGGGTCCCCAAGTCCCGCGGCTTCGGGGTCAGGTCCACCTGGTGTCTGCCAGGGAACCTTTTCACATACACAGGTGCTCTCCCCTGCACCTCACACCACTCCACACAGGTGCACAACCTCTGCCTCTCCCCATCTCCCGCCCACGTGCGTGCCCAGAACCCAGTCCTTCCCTGGGACATCCCCCCACACACATTCAAACCACCCCCCGCC